TGATAGGATAGGAAATAGTACAGGAAGGCAGGCTGTTTTACGGGAAAGAACGATGCATGTTAACTTTACAACCAGTGGGGTTTATAGCTGTAGAGAATGGTAAATGAGGGCGGACAAATAGAAAGGGTCTTGCGGTCGGGGGTTGACGTCAAATTGGCGAAAGATAGCCCTAAGCATTTCACCGGCACGAAGTTACAACATTTTCCTCCCGGACCACGTCACAAAGTATGGCTATTCCGTTCAAACAGCCCTGTCGATTCTTTAGGCCATTGCATAACATGGCGAGGGATACGCCGCTTCACGTGAAATAAACTCCTGCCACGCTGGTTACATATTTGTCCCCAAGTTTAATTGGAAATGCGTGGACTAATAACTGAAAAAGTACATCATATTATGAACTTTAAGCATTACCAATGGGAAACGTTCCATTTTATGAAATACAATTATACCCCCGGTGCGCATATATTATATGTACTCCAGCTTTGTGTAGTTCCACTGAATCATCAGCCACCATTCCCTTCAATCCACGGAGTCGTAGCTGTTCTCCCTCCACCAGCCCCCAAATATAACACAAGTATGTGCCCATTCTCCTCGCTTTAGTATACGTCTGTCGCTAATTGTGCTGTCATGCCAACCAATCTAGTCGAACTACCTTATCAGGTCCTTTTCACATTTTGTCGGACGACCGGTTGATTTCACAAACTCGAAACTGTATAAGTACACTATGATTTCCCGAAAAGTATATGCGAAAATGTATGCGCATATGTTTGCGAATATGCGCTCAGCGATCGGTTACGGTGTCCACTAGCCCAGTACTTATTTGAAGCTCCTTTTCCTGCCCCGTCAGCAGCCGCACAAAGTTCGGTATTATAGACAAAAGAGCATTACGGACAGAGAAAAGGGAGACTGAATGGCCATTTCTTGATTATTGACCGTCGTCAGCTATCTTTAAAATTACAGTTCTTCCGGAGTTATTTTTGTATTACACAATCCAGTTTACAGGGTTCCTTCGCCTAACCAAATCCATTGTCCCATTTATGGCTACATTTTCTTCAGTGCAGGCTTTGATTGTTAAGCTTCAGACACGGAAGTAGATTCTTACAGTGCCGTTAACGATCAACTGATGAATCCACAGCAACTGTTATCGTGGCGGCGTTTAGCATCATCCCCTCGTTCTGACCCCGAGTAAGATGTTGATGATCGCGGCAGATTCCTCCGTTTTCGATACGTACTGGTAGTTTGCTTGGTGAGCAGAGAATTATCATGGTCCCATCGTCCTGGATATGTGTCTTTGTAGCAGCTTTTAATGTCCCTTATTCGCGTTGGCTTTAAGTGGACTGTGGTCGATTGTGATGGTTTTCGCAACCTTGGCTATTGTTACCGTTGTCATCAAAAAATATTATGATCGCACTTGCCGTGAATAGTCTTATCCGGTTTAGGAATTCTACAATGAAAAGGAACGTTTTGTTCTTCTGTACACGATAATCTGCCGGGCGGTACTGTTTCACATGCCTTTTCCTTGCCACTGGGTGACAGTTTTTTCTCCTTAAATACCAATCTAGTCACTTTTTGTCCCTTTAAACACATTTTAAGTTTTTCACTGTTCGCTAACCGTTCTGCTACCGGACTGTCTATTTTGTCAACAAAACCTACCACAGCAGTGTGTGTTGTCGTTTTAATATGCAGCGAATAATGCAATTTTTCATTTATCATGACGGTACACTAATGGGTTTCGAATCAAACAGTTTACGTTTTCATGGGCATATGACCGTATTTATTCCTTCATTCTTAATCCGAAATAAAATTTATAACAGATGAGATGGCCAATTATTTACTGTAGCGATTTTATTTAAAGATATATTTCGGCTCTTCGCGACCCAGGTTCTCTATTTAATATCAGGAGCACTAAACTCGCCTTCGATATGAAAACAGAAATCCCGGTCGAAATTCTAGTTAGACGACTGGGATACTGCCGATTAAGTTATTTGTAGTACAAATGGTGATGCTTAAAATTTCTGCTTTCTTTGGTTGACCACGTACCTCGGCGATGATGGTTGGCATGCAAATACAGACAACATAAAAGTTGCAAAGATTCCTATCACAGAAATCCGAAGAGCAGTTGGCATAAACCATAAACTCTATCTTTCTGATTGCGCTATATCATTTAAAGTTTTGATATGGATTGAGACCTATTTCGGATTCCACGTTACCTGCAGTAAGCCCAGTTGCTGAAAAGCCAAAGCTGTTTCACTTTAATTCATTAAGTAAGTTTCTAAGTTCGCACAATTTATAGACCAGTCATTGTAAACTGATCAAAAATTACATTCGATAGTCGCCTCGTCGAGGAGGCCTAAACTTCATTTCGACAGATTTTGTTCGCAGTAATATCTGCTTGACTTGGATTCTCTGATCATTTTCGCTTCCACAGATGCTTAAAGAAGTGGAAATAGAAAGGAAATAATCAAAAATACCGCGGATGATCCTACCGTATACTGAATTCTGTTAACATGCGTCAAACTCGTCCATATACACGCACGCACTGTTTAGTAGGACTACAAGAACGTATGCAGAACGATTAATACTCCCCTATATGAGCTAAGTACAGAGCTCTGAGGTGATTTATCAATGAAAATTTCGGAGTGACAATATAGTGCAAACAAGGTAAGTAAACTCTCATAGATGGTTTCCGGAAAACATCGAAATAACCATCATGCAGAGCAATTCTCAAATAAAAGGTAACACAGACCATGCGTTTTAACTTCTCTCTGGTACCATAGCATGCCATGTCTGCTTGCCTCTTAACAGTTTTAGGATACAAAGATATGCAAATATTCCCATGCTTAATTTGAAAAGTCAAGTTGGCAAACATATGTTTTCAGCAAATCATAATCAGGCCAAAACATTTACAGGATAGTAAAAACTGTACAGTTGAACAGGATTAAATAGCGCAGCCTGATTACAGTTCATCGGTTACGTGTCACCCGCATGGTGAGGTCTTCGTGTAGAGGTTCCTGTGTTGGGGGAAGGGGAAGGGGAGGTAATTTGGTTAGATTGTGGGGGTTGATCAGAGGGCAGATACATGGAGGGATGATTGCTGCTATTTGCGCGCAGCGAAGGACTGTCACTAGGGGTGGGGGAAAAAGGCGATAGCCATCTAGCAAGGGCTTCTACCAGCTTCTTCTGGAAACAGAGCATGGGATTCGCCAGCCATATAGCCACTGCTTCGGCTGTTGCAAGCACCCGTTGGCGTAGGTCCTTTGAAAAGTTGTCTGGTGTCCGGTAGACAACCTGAAAGGCTTCGTTAGTACCAACTCGAAGATTTGTATCGATAAGATGTGCGAGAAGAGAACTTGAGTTTCACCTTTACTTAACCAGAACGGTGCTCACATACCCTCTTTTCCAGGCGCCCCGTTTTTCAACCGATGTATCCTGCAAGTGAAAGATTAAATACACATGGATGTGGCCTTCAACAGGAGTCTGTCTTTACTTCCCAATCGTAGGAGGAGAAAGTTCGTGAAGAACATCCGTCAGTTCACCGCTGGGAAAGTGCTTGCAATTGCGGTACTCAGGCGTCTTATGACCAGCTCATTTGTTGCATCACCTAAGAAAGGCAGTCTTGTAAACACGTCTTTCTTTTCTGCGGTTAAGACAGCAGGCTTTTTGGCGCGCTCGCCAATATTCCTCAGGATGAACGTTTTCGGGTATCCATCTTCAATTAGCGTAGTTGTTGAAGTTCCGCTTCGACAGTTTCAGGAGAGCAGATCTTTCGTACTCTAGCAGCAATTATCCCTCCATATATATGCTCTCTGATCAACCCCCACAACCTCACCCAATAACCTCCCCTACCCCTCGCCCTCCCCCAACACAAGAACTTTTACACGCCGACATGGCCATGCGGGTGACGCATAAACGATGAATTGTAATTAGACTACAATATTTAACACTGTTCAACTTTACAGTTTTAATTACCCTGCAAATTTTTTGGCCTGATTAGGATTTGCTGAAAGCATATGTTTGCGAACTAGACTTCATTTACAAAGATATATTGCGGTTATGGGCCATGCTAAATCCCCGGTGAATATGCATAGAAGATGCATAGATTTACGCCAATGTAACAAATATAAATGACTGGAAGGGATCTGTCTTATTCACCATTAATGCTTGACGATACAGCAACCCCTTTGCTCTAATGGGTGTAATGTTGGAATGACGAGTTTGATCCTCCTATCCTTGACTAAGTTCTCATTCACACCTAAACGTTATGAAATGGTTTATAGCTTCATGTTTAAAAAACCCAGCCACTCATTTACTACGGTATCAGCTCAACTTACTACTATTGTGAAAAACGTGTTGAACTCGAACAGCAAATTAGTCCTTGAGAAATTTCTTAATGCGCTAGGCCTATAGGAATCTTCGGAATCTAAAATATTCTCAAAGGAAATTACGCTAATGAAGACTTTTGTAAAATCCTAAATGATATTTGTGGCTGGATTTTCTTCATTTTCCAGATGATACGGTTTACTCATGTATTTGTTAGTGTGGAGATTGGCGACATCGATAACCGAATCCTAAATATGTAATATGCGCAGGTATGGAATTAATGACAGGTAAAATAAGCTTCATGAGTGCGCAACGACTTGCAACTAGCTGCACAACACACCAATAAGTCTGCGAATTCTAAATAAATGATATTGAAGCTCAGTTATTTTACGCTGTTCCTTAAGCGTGCTTTAAATCTTGTAAGACCTAGAATTTCCTGACAAGAATTGGGTGTTTGGCTTAAGGTGAAATTAATTGGTTACTTTGGTGGCGAAATGGCGTTAGTTAATTACGACCGTTCCGACGAGTCTTCAGACTCTGAAGGTGCGTTTCCCTGATAAGTACTCATATATTTCCTTAGAAGAACATGAACCCAAAGTGTCCAATCTTTCGCAAAAGCCTGTACCACCAAACTCGTCAGCACAGTTTACAGATGCCGTCGAGGCTGAGTATAAAATGCGAATCCCAAAAAATGCAAAGCCTCTGCTAAAACCCTTGAATATTGAAAAGCGAACTTCGAAATCTGGAAAAGTTCTAATAACTATTCAATCACTAGAAGAGGTGGGTATTATTACAATTGTCTCAGTATATTCAGCTAGATTCATCGGATGACAGCGACGATGAAACTCAGCTGAAACACCAAAAAGCCCGGGTGAGTGTCTGGAACGAATAGCCAATTTTTTTACTGCATATTGTCCCATTCGTTATGAGGTTACCCGAGCACCCTGTCCTTTCCCATCCCACATAACTTCTGCGTTATTTCAGGCAAATCCGACGAACCGGAAACCGTCTAGCAGTTTGCTAGATCTTCTCCCACCTACCCGGGCGCTTATCGTCCGTGAAGGCAATTCGCCGATGATGATTCCTCACCAACTGGCAAAGCCA